ACCAGTGGGATACGACTGTACAACCATGTGATACGAAATGGCTACCTCATACATAGTACTGAGGAGCCGACGCACCACCCATTTAATCACCTTCAGGCACCTGATGTTCTTGATTTGGCATTATCCAAGAACTGTAGCTACAGTATCACTTCTCGAATCATGTATGACATCTCAAGCGATCATCTTCCCGTCGTTTTGGAAGTGGCTAATGAGCAGATCTTGGGGGATGAAATCCCTCCAAGGAAACGCATTGATTGGGAGCTATACAAGTCGCTCCTCAAAGAGTTCCCCAATATACCGATCATAGATGATGAGAACGGTATAGATGCGGCTCAAGCAGAGTGGACAAGTTTTGTTCAGCAAACTCTGCAGCGTGCAGCTGTACTTCCCGTGCAGCGACACGGCAGACCTTTTCTGCCAGCAGACATTCGTCAGAAAATTTCTGATAAAAGAGCTGCAATTAAGCAAGCGAAAAGGTCTTGTCATCCTGATGACATTCGCAGAGCGACGAATCTTGTTCACGAAGTAAGAAATGCTCTTCATGAATTCCGCAATGAGCAATGGAACGACTTTCTGGCGGGGATGCTTGACTCAAGCATTCCTCTCTGGAAGGTGGCGAAGTCGCTCAAAAACGGAAAGCGTGAACAAATCCCACACATTCACGGTCCTGGAGGCATTGTCTTCAGGACAGAGGAGAAGGTTGAGGTTTTCGCCGATGCCATGGAAAGACAGTTCTCTCCCAACTATGATCTTGATAATGACCTCGACGAGGAGCAACACATCGTAAGATCTGTCAGGAGATATTTTAGGGCCAACGGCGTCAGTGACAGTCGCGCATTCGTTGGTGATTTTTCTTCATCAGAAGATTCTTCTTCAGAAGCTTCTTCAACCGAAGATTTGCTTAGCACATCAGCGGTATCGCCTGAGATCCCGCATTGCACACCAGCACAGATTCAAGGTCATATTAAAGACCTTAAAGTGCGTAAAGCACCTGGGGAGGATCAAATCACTAATAAGGCGCTGAAGCTGCTTTCGCGGAAGTCCTTAACTTATCTCGTGGCAATAGTCAATGCCATGCTAAGGATCCAGTACTTCCCATCCGCGTGGAATACCGCTGAAGTTATAATGATTCCAAAGAAGGTGGGTTCGATATTTCCCCAGGATTATCGTCCCATTAGCCTGCTGTCAGCTGCGTCTAAGCTCGCTGAAAAGGTGATTCTACGTCACCTTGAGAATTCCTCGTCAGATCACCATGTGATTCCTGACGTGCAATTCGGTTTTCGGTCTGAACATAGTACGGAACTACAGGCGGTTAGGCTGGTGGAACGTGTAACCAGAGGATTCACCCTTAACGAAAGTACTGGCATCTTGCTTTTGGATGTCTCAAAAGCATTTGACAAGGTGTGGCACGCGGGCCTCTTGTATAAACTAATCCAAAAGGGCTTCCCTTTTTGGCTTCTAAAACTACTGAAATCCTTCCTTGAAGGTAGGAAATTTCGGATCAAAATTGACAACGTCCTGTCGACAACACGGCTGATTACCGCCGGTGTCCCTCAGGGTTCGGTCTTTGGACCTATCCTTTACTCACTGTACATCCATGACGTCCCTAGTCCCAGCAACTGTGAAGTCTATCTCTATGCTGACGATACTGCATTGGTGGCTCAGTCGTGGTCTGGTGACCTAGTCCATGACAGGCTGCAAAGTGCGGTGGAGGAAGTATTAGATTGGGCGGATCGGTGGCTAATTAAAATAAACCACTCGAAAACGCAGGCAATCTATTGTACAAAAAGACGTCGCGGCGTTCCGTCTGAAGTTTCAGTGAATGGACTTCGTATACCATGGGAATCCTCCGCTAAGTATCTCGGTGTCATTCTGGACAAAGGGATGACTTGGCGGAACCATATGGAAGCGCTAAAAACTAAATTCCAAATTACGTTTCGGCAGCTTTACCCATTATTATGTAAACGGTCAAAATTAAGTTTGATTAACAAGATTCGACTCTATAAGGTGGTCATAAGACCAGCAATGACTTACGCATGTGGGGCTTGGTGATTTATTGCTAAAACACACATGCGAAATCTGCAGGTTCTGCAAAGCAGGACGTTGCGCACTATTGCTGATGCCCCATGGTATGTCTCTAACGAAACTCTACATAGAGACCTCGATGTCCCTTATCTAAAGGACTACATTAAGCAACAGGCGCAGCGGCGCTATAGCCTAGCGGAATCGCACAGCAACCCTCTGTTGCGTGAGTCAGTGGACTACACAGTCGAGCAAGTTCGCAAGCAGAAAAGGCCGCGGCTCGCACTGTAATCAAAATTAACTCGTGAACTTAGAACAACCAAAATTGGAGCATTTTTACACAATCTTTAGAAAAAAAAAACAAATATTTTTAGACCATATCAAAATCTGTGAAGTGATTTTAACAATGCCTAAACGCTGCCTATCCTAAAAGATTATCTTCTTCCCTTTTGCTCTCGTTCTTCCTTCTCTCCTTTCCTTCCCCTTTTTTCCTTAAAATTGTCTGGTTTCTGGGTTACCAGACCTGACAGACTTACAAACTGACACTGTGACTCAAGAGCAAAGGTCCCACGGACCGCTCTGACAACCAACGATGACTTGAATGTTTTGTCCATTGACGTCTTACCCAAATAGACCTGGAATGTTTACAGAAGTTTTTCCTCCACAAAAAACCCTCTTTTTTGCGAAGTTGCCAAATAAGTTGACCCCACGGTCCTTTTGACATTGGTTCCATGGTATCCACAACTAGCCAAATGACCTATATCTGTTGCAGAAATGTTGTTCTAGAAAAAATTCATGTATATTCTTATATACCTATAATAATTTATAGAACAAGTGAAGAATACGCGAATTTTACAAATGTAGGTATAATACAAACCAGAGTATGTTCTACACATTTGTGATTAACGTTTATATACGGCAACGCTGCACTTGTTTGTAGTAGCCTTGTAGTAAAGGTGGCTACAGACATGTGAAGTTTGTCAACTTTCAAACAGCAAATGTTTGATATTTGGCAAATATCTCAGACACACACTATATGAAAATACACAAATATTTGTTATTTGTCATACATCAAATGTTTCCCATCAATTGTCGGTAAATAAGTACAAATCAAAGGAGACAAATATTTGAAATTCTGCGTAGTTGTTTCAGATAAACACATGCTCCGTATTTAAATATTGATATCGCAGTGCTACGCAAGTGTGCCCGTGTTCGAGATGGAGTGGACAAACGAACTTGTACTGGAGTTTTTAGAACTGTACGAAGAGGAACCTGCAATATGGAATGCTTAGCATATTCAACATAAAAATAGGAACGACGTATATGATGCATGGTTACGGATAAAGAAAAAGCACGCCTTGTTCTATATCCGCCTGCTCCTCAAACACACGTCGTTCCACAACCGACAGATGTCAGATGTTCACAACCATACCCTCCATCCCTTTTACAGATTTCATCTTCACCAGTCTCAGATATTTCCCGTTCCTATCACTCGGAACCAGAGATACGTTCTATCAACACTGTAACTGACGATGTTAATTCATTACAGTCCAACGAAGATATAACAATCGCAACTTTTTTAACAACTTTTCAGTGAAATATTTCTATCTTTTAGTTTTAAGATTGGCATTATTTCTATTATATGCTCCAATTTGTCCAGAGAGCTTTGTTATGTTCCTATAAATTACGTTCAATATATATTATTTTACAAATTGTACCTCTTACCTTTATTGTATCTCCCAATACTTTTATTATTGCGTTGCAAACTTCAGGACAATGCTTGATATCAACTGGGATGAAACTTTGAAAAGATAGCAAAGGTGATAAACTTTATTTGTTGCATGTAATCACAGTGGTTATGTGAAAATAGTCAAAAATTAATACAGATACACAATAAAATACAAATATACAATACAAATAAGCTTAAAATACAGTAAATATCACAGATATGAGATGACATTAAATATCAGTGTCCTCCAAAAATTCTTGGACCTCATAATAGGCCTTATCACAGAGGATAGTATGCAACATTTTTTTTAAAGAGTTGAGAGGTATCTTATTTCAAATTTTGGTTATCGAGAATTCAACATTCCTCGGGAGTAGTCATGGTCAATGTGTTTGATATGAGATTAGATCTATTTCTAGTACTGTAGTGGTGGAAGTATGCATTCTATAAAAGATCTGGATTTTTTTTCATGAATACTATTGATTCTAAGATATAGATACCAGCCACAGCCAAAATGCCCCTTTCTCTGAATACTTGTTTTTCAGCTGTCATTGAAACGCATACCAAAGATGTTCCTAATGCATTTCTTTTGAAGGATAAGTGCTCTCTAGACAGTTGTTGAATTGCCCCAAAAAATAATTCCTTATGACAGCCTGGAATGCACATATCCAAAATATGCTGTTAAGGCAGCCCTCTTGCCAAGACTTCCAGACAATATTCCTATCACATAACTGAATTTTCCAACAGATTCACATACATCTTCAATATGGTATTTTCAATTGAGGCAGCAAACTATACTAACACCTAAAAGTGAGGCAGTGTTTACAGCATCAATAGTGTTTCCATTAAAAGAGATAGACAAGTTATTACTTTCTAAGTTTCTACTGAATTGCAGTAGTTTTGGTTTCTTTAAAGTTAACAGTAGTTTATTGGATGAGAACCAGTTCTGAAGTTGTTCTAAGTGGTCAATTGCAACAATTTTAGTTCTTGCCTCTGAGTGTTCACTGATAACAAAATATGTATCATCAGCATACATGTTTAAATCCTGCATTAATTGCATTATATCATTGACATATAGAATGTAGAAGAGAGGACCTAAGGGGACAGTTATATTATCACTTGGTCTGTTATGAATATAAAGCTTGTTATACAAACAGATAAGAATGGTTACTTAATTGGTGACAATATAATATATTATTGTTTCAGTACATCATCATCAAGTATTGATATTTTCCCAAAATAAGTTTCTGTGATGCCAAAAGGTATTGCAAGCTACCTAGATGTGACTGGCAGCTCCATAAGAAGCTCTTCATCCAGAATTAATACTGATGAAAGGTATGTTTCATGAAAGATCCATGTACTGTAGGCTAATTTAATTTAAATTTGGAAATGTACTATTTATTTCATCTAAAAGTATTTTAGAAATTTTAGTACAGCGTTTCAACACAATTAAAACAGTCAGTTGTCTGATTATAATTGCTTCTACTGGGCTAGGAGTATCAATGCAAAAATATTTTATATTTGTATCACAAAACAGGGTAATCCAGAAATGATATCAATATTTTTAGGATCAAGCACATGAAACATTCATAGAAACAATAGTCTCAATACTGGGTATAGAAGTGGTACATAATATCAAGATAAAAAAAAACCTTTGAGGTTGATTGGAAATTTTGACCACTAGAAGAGACAAAACAAAAATTACACTTTTGAATGTATCTGATAAAATCTGAAGAAGTGTATCTAGTGTTTAGTAATCCTATCCAATCCTAGTATTAAGCGACATTTTAAAAGTGTTCATGCTTTGTCCTTATTCAGTTCCATCAGTGGTGCAGAAATTTATAATACCTTGTATCTAGGCATTGGGACATTTTTATACAAGTGGTCATAGGATTTTTTGTCACTTTTTAACCTATTTTCTGCCCTCCAAAAAATACTGATATTGCTTTTGAATCGCCCTGTTTATCATCCATTTAAAATTGCTATGTTCAATATCTGTTTGAATTTTTGATTTGATATATGACTGGTATCTTCAACTGTTTATCAGGAAATTTGTTTTTTTTTATATTGTTGGATACAGCTGAAACATGAAACGTTTGTTCAACCTGGACCTTCTGCCATTGTAAATCAAGCAAGATGTCACATATTTAAGATTATGCGTAGAATATATTTTATATTTTTTAGTTTCAATGTGGAAGACTGGCCATCATCAAGTTCTTCTAACACTTGGAGTGCCTCACCTGCAACTGTGACAGCCTCAGAAAATGAAAATGAATCAGATGTGTTTACTGAATCTGTTCAAGCAAAGAAGAAAAGAAAAAGGTACAAAACCATACTATCAGATATAAATTCTTCATTCAATGTCTATAGACGATATTCATATACAGAGCAGGCCAGCAATGTCTGAAGTCTCACTGTATATGAGAGAGAGGGAAGACAGAGAAGCGTACAACACATTATGTTAGAAAGAATGCATGGCAAGCTATAACAAGGCTCTGCAACCATTGTTTCTGTCACTGCTAGGTAACATGGTGATTGGTGCACTCTTTCTTAGATGTTTTTGTTATATGCGTCTCTCATACATTCTAAAACATCAGACCTCAAACGTTGATGTGCCACCCTGTATATGAACTTCAGTATATACAGTGCTTTTCACAGAGACTTCCTGTATTCGCAAGTAAGTTGAAATTTGAGACATATAGTTACTACATTTTAGCGTAGAAATGACAATGTTCCATGTTTCTCTGCACACTTAGACAGATCTTTAAAAAAGAAGATTGAATCCATTAGCCCAAATTCTTATTTGCTAATTTGGCCCATTCAAAAAATATGTAGGAGAGGGGGCTTTTGAAAATCACTGTATAAATACATAAACACACTGAACACTGATACATCTTTGTCATCTGTAAAATTAATCATTCACAATATTCATAATGATGGTCTTGTTATTGTAGGAAGAGGTATGTGGGAGACTTAACCAGTAGCGACTTTTCTACATCTGAGAAGAGAAAACGGAATTTTCGTCTCATGAAAGACACTATTTTGAGACAGAGGAAGTTACTACAAAACAAACAACGTTTGATCCGATATTTCAGAAATAGAATCCAAACACAGAAGGAATTCCTTGATATGCTAAATCAAAAGTTTAATATGGATGTTTCAACTGAAAGTGAACTCAAGGTGAGGGAAAAACAAACAAAAACCACAATAGGACAGTTAAGTAACAAAAAAAGAACCTAAAACTTCCTGAAAGAGGAAAAATACAAATTAATTGACCTAGCCTATAACCAAAGTCACGAAACAATATGACAGCTCACCATATAGAAACAATGGGTGATATCCAATTTATTTATATTTTCCCGTGTGTTTAAGGTTTTTCTTTCTTGCCTAACTGTTTATGGTGGTGTTAGCTTAAAACACTCGAATAATTCGAGTCACCTTAATTTTTAAGTTATTTAGGCCCGTATCGTCAGTCGTCCCTAAAATTGTAGGGCGCGTTTATGGCCTCCTTGATTGTCATAGTTTTCTACTTCTCCGTGTCAGAGCTCTACTTTGAGGTTATGCCACAAACATCTATTTGCATCAAATTGTGCTTGCTTTTGAGTTATATCATGTTTTATCAGCCTGAAATTTCCTACAATTTAAAAGAAAAACATATCTTCACAATAGGAGAGCCCTGACGCTGACACTGGACAAGTGTAATCTAGAAATTTTTGAAGGAGAGAAAGGAGTATGACAATCAAGGAGGCCATAAACGCGCCCTACAATTGTAGGGACGACTGACGATACGGGCCTTAGATCTATGGAATGTCAGAAGTGGACATCACCTATACCTGAAATCATGAAAGATTCCAATTTCAATCATGAGACAAAGGCAAAATGTGACAGTTACCATATAGAAACAATGCAAAAATGTCATTCTTGAAAGTTGTTCTATATTGAAGTATCATGATTACAAGTGTATTTTATTCCCAAGCTGCTCAAACATACCAACATTAAAGATATTGAAATTTGCTTTTATTGTTGTTTCAGGCGTGTTTGTCGGGTCCAGCCTCTCAAATATTTGAAAGGATGTTAAAGGTCCATCAACACAAAAATATGATCCTGTGTATGCGTGAAACACAGTTAATAAATCTTTACCTGATTTAAGTACAATCAGTAAGTGGTATAAATCATTTAATGGTTCTCCTGGGTTCACACAGGAAGCCATGGAAACTCTAAAAATTCTAAAGCGACAAGCAGATGCAAAGGGTTCACATATTCTGTGCAATTTGGTTTTAGATGAAATGTCAATTCTACAACAAATTGAGTGGACAGGAACCAAATTCACTGGGTATGTTGATATTGGGGCAAATATTGATTCAGATATGCTACCTGAAGCAAAGGATGTACTTGTATTTATGTCGGTATGTCTTAATGGATCCTGAAAAATTCCTGTTGGCTACTTTTTTTTGGCTGGATTAGCTGCTGCGGAAAAGGCAGAGGTACTAAAAAATTGTTTGACCTTTTTATACGAGTCAGCTTAAACATTTTGATATTTTGCACATTTTCAAATCCCTGCAATGTTCATTGTCAACTGCTTATGGTTAACATAACTTGTGCTGGTGTGATATCCCATATTTACAATTGTTAGGTTTATTTTTTGTTGACACATTTCCTATTAAGAATGTCAAGAAAATTTTCTTTTGCATTCATTGATCTCCATATAAAATATTTTGTAAACCATCAAATAAACATTTTTTTAAGTAGTATTTACTGTGTTTTATTTCTTAAATATTGAGGTCTTGTACCTACCACATAAGACACACATTATGCTATTTTTGTTTACAATCATAAAATGAAAGCACAATGTGTAAACACATTTGATGTTTTGCATTCATGGCCGATGATTATATGTATGAAGAGCGGGGGGAGGGAAGGGGGGCTGCATGCTTTTTGTTGGAGACACCACGACCGAAAAGAGGGACATTTTTGTGTCGGGAACAGTAGGACAGAGTCCGAAAGTGGTTCCTATGGTCACCTTAATAATAGTATACCTACAAGAAAGACGTTTTTTGTACCTCCAATATACTGAGACATTTATTGGCTTTTATAGCCCTTCATGGCCTACATTGTGATACGCATATGGTGGGAATTCCGTAGTTGACCTTGAGCCTTGTGCTGTTCCAAGCTTGGGGCCAATTTGATAAAATTATGAATGAAAGTTGGTATTTCCCGCCAGTGAGGTTCGTGAACATAACAAACGGCGGACTTATGAATGACTTGCAGGGTCTATATGGGCAAGACGTCAATGTTTTGCCCTGACTAGCGCTATCCTTCTCGTTTATCATTCTAGCCGCAATGAATTCGCGTTAGGGCAGGGTACGTTCAAAACTCAATTTCAGAGCATTTACACATTATACATACTTGTAGCCTGACTATGCAATCCAAAGTCCAACAATGATTGTGAACAGGCATCTCCGACATCAACAATGCACTTGGGAAACAATGTTTCCCATACATCTCATAAAGTCTGTGAGAATGAACCACACCTGAAAATAATACGATAAGTATATACATAATATGAATATGCAATGATTTGTTTTGTAACTTACCTACCTTCATCAAGGGAACAGCAAATGCTCAGACGCCTTTCTAACTGTTGTATTTCTTCCTCTTTGCTCTTCCTCTTTTTTCATTATTTTTCCTTTCAGCTTTCTATTAATCGTGTCTGGTTTCTGGGTGGCCAGGCCGACAGAATAACAAACTGACTGACGTACTTTGACACAAAGGCAAAGGTCCTACGGACCGCCTTGACAGATAATGACGAATAGAAAAAAAATCATTACTGCCATTAACCAGGCAATTTATAAGACTAACTGGCACAGTGATCGTACTCCATTTTCACTAGTGTCAAAGTCAGACGTTAGTTTTCATTGAAATTTCGCCTGTGGAAAAAATCTTATGTGGGCAATCTTAAGAGTAAAAAAATACTACTGGGTGGAATAAATCATTTCTTGATTTTAGAGGCTTTAAAATATACCTGGTTCAGAAAACTTAATATTTAGAGATATGACAAGAGATTTAAAGAAAGCGGCCCAATTTTCCGTAACAGGAGAAATATACATGCTAAAAACGTCTAAAACTTTGAGACTTTCACTAAAACCAAAATTTACCATAGAATAACCCATGACTTGATCTGTTTAAACGTTCCTATACAGCTGTTTATAATTAGTACAAGAAGAGAGCGTGAGATGGAGGTCCCCGCATGTCTTTGTGTCACTACATATGTATGTGAAATATAAGGCAACATTTGGAGGAAAAACAGCATAGGTTATCAAACTTTTTTTATGCCACGCCTCACTAGGAAAATAAAAAGAAGTGATTGATAACACTTTGAATTTAGCTTTAATTAGATGCTTTTTGGTTCACTGAAATGCTTATGAATAATATCTAAGTGAAATAAATTCGTCCATTCTCAAAAAAATGAATAAATTAAATGAAAGTTAAAATTAACAACTACTTTTAATAATATTTTGGCATCTTCACGTACAGGCAAGTGCTTTTTTCGGTTCCTGTCTCATTTTATTGAATATTAATTTGAAGAAATTAGTAACACATTCGTCACATCCTTTTTGGTGCTCCCTCGGGAACATTCCTAAGAAAAATTAGGTAATTTATGAATCTGGTACTCGTGCTCGTGAGTTTGCAGATATTTGCAGCTGATTTTTTTAGTGATAATGAGCCTGAGGAATTAGGGAATCGTTAACTATAAAAGTACTGGGTAAAAGTAGGGTGTAACACTTTATCACTTTCTTTAAAATCGCACTAATATTCGACCTTTTATTTAAAGTCTTTTTAGTGCAAACCGAAAGTATTGATATGAACTTTTAATACGGTGTTTAACAAGGTGGAGCAAGCCTTTTGAATAATGAATGATCCCGATAGTCGTTATTAGGGTTTACTAATCAGTCGCTGTGCGCTGCGCGGGTTCGAACCCCGTCTCAAGTGAATTTTTATCTTGTCTATAGACGCAGACGTTGTGATTGTCCGTAGATGGTCATTTGTACTAATACACCAGTTAGGTGGTCTGTATGAAATATGGAGTGCTCGAATATACGGTTTATTTTCACTACAAGACCGACCATTTCTATAAACTATGTTACTTAACAGGAATAAAACAAAACGTTACTTGTTTAACATATATTCACTAAATATGTTTATTCAATATTTTGTCAACTAAATTAGTATATTTACATAATAACTAAATAAGCCAGACAATGCCAATAAAATAATAATCTTAGTATATATTAAAAATGCAAAATTCTCGTATCGAATGATTGGCAAAATTCATTCGCTAACTATATACAAAAAGTCTAAAATCATAATAATGCATATCAACTATAATAAACAATATAATCTATAAATGGCATCTTCAATAAAGTATATTTAAAAAGTGTGGGGTGGTAATTTTTTTTTGATCTTGCAAGCTTTGAAAACAGCTTCAAAATAAATGAAAATACAAATTGTGAATTTGATCTCGTCAGCTAAATACGGTGAATGTTTGATATAGTCACCAAATGTAAGGGAACAATAAAGTATATGCAATAAAGAGAGTAATGTTAGTATAATTATAAAGCCAGCCTTCCTTTTTTAGGAAACATTCTGTTGATACAATTAGATACTCATTACCCCTGAATTTTGACCATAATTCAAACAATCACGTTTTCCGCATTAGCCTACCTTTTATTAGACTAAAAATGTTTGGATTACGGTGCAAATTGTTAATTATGTCACATATCCATATTATTTGCGTACAATCCTGCCAAATTACAACGTTTTATATCAGTTGACTAGCCTCACCTGGTGAATATGATGTGGCCATATCGTAAAATTGACCATTTCATGGAATAATCGAGCATATCATGAAAAGGTCGCATTTCATGAAATTTATCATCATCAATTGGCTAGATCATAATGTGCGTTGGCAGAAACAAACAACAAATCATTTAACGATATGATCACCTAAGCGCAAGGCTACATCATGAAATGGTCAAGCATGTTTGATCATATCTTAAAAATAATTACATTGTTTACCGACAGAGTCGCGGCGAGCGCATTGTTTACATTTCAACATGGATGCGGTTGATAACAGTTGTTTTTCTAAGTGAAAATTCTAAACGAAACGAATTCGTAACCTATATTGGATATTTATTAAATATTCTATGGATACTTACGATATGACCAATCGTGGATGACCAGATGTTAAACGCTGACGATTTAACGATATCATCAAATTTAGTTGGCTATTTCATGAGATGCGACCATTTCTAAACACTCAATGACTAATGTTCTAAAATCGGGAAAATGCAACGTACCAACATTCCACATATTATAAAATGAATTTCAAAGAAGCTGGGTGACTCTATTTACTTGCAGTAAAGTAACTTTCTTTTGCGACACAATTTTAGACAATAGAGTACAGAGTGCTTCATATGTAGACAATCTCTTAAATGCATTTAATACACTCAAAAAGGTTATATTGTGTATTGCTCTACAAGGCTTTAGGTACAGAGTTACTTGCGTTACTAAGTTGAAAATGGATACTTTTCTAAAACTGACTTTATAACCAAATTTTAGAACTTTTGGGTGTTCTATATATGTTTTAAAGATTGTCCACATAATTTGTGACACTATGTATAAAGCTTCCACACTCACCAGCTTCTCTATAAAATAAATAGGAAATACCCATAGAAAAAATGTTCGTATTACACATTAACTTGCATCAATATCAGTTAACATAAAATCACACATGATTTGTTAATAAGAGTTCCTCAATTGCCGAATTGATTTTTTTCCTGGGTAAGTTATCTAAACCGAAAAGTAATGCCTTTATTATTTGAGTTATAGGCAGATAGGGACGAATATTTTGTTGAGGGGCATTTGTACAGTTAATGTTTTGATATGTAACTTTTTGGGAATTAATTTATTCCTTTCGCAAGTGTTTAGCAAATTTAAAATATGCAAATGCAGGAAACTATAGCACTTGAAGAGTGAAAGTCAGTGGCCATTTGATGCAAATAGTAGCTGACATAGAGCGTTATTGTTTTATGAATGCAATCAAAGTTTCTCAATTATAAATTATTATATATTCCTGATAGGTTACTGAAAATGCACAAAAGCATTAGACAAAAAAGGTGCTAACAGTAGACTTGATTATGTGTATCAAAATTGCTATGTTACAATATTTTGGAATGCGCGACACTGCTAGTACTGAATCGTAAAAGCGTCGTTCAACGACCTTTGAAGTCGAGCTACGCTAGTAGTTGCCCTATACAGTTAGATTTACATTGAAGATATGTTGATTCAAGATGGACATCATTAGTACTTCAGTTAACTTGAGGCAATCTTATGCAAAACTTCCAACTATAGACTGTATATGGCAATCATATCGATAGAGATATCACAAATATAGTGAGAGATATATCCATAAGCTACAGTAAAACATTTGTGTATTTGGAAATCTGCTTCTGACCTGTTTATTTTTTATGCACCATTAACAGCAGAAGAGTTCTCCCTAAAAATACACAGCAGTCGCGTTGACTGAAATTACTGTGTTTATACCTTCGCCACGTCAACCAAAATGAGAAGGCATTATTTGTCATCAAGCTGTGTAAACATAGTTTAGTCATCATTTCAGTAAGTTCCATAGGAAAAATTTCAACAACTGAAGTAGATATCTGGTCTATTATTCTAACTTCTCATTCAGAACATTAACTGTACAGAACATTTACTGTATTCAACAATCAGCTTTACTCATTTTTGTTCTCCCCTAAATACTAGTACTACCAGACAATACTTATTTCTTATCTCATCTGCGGAGGTATCTCATTTACGCCCCATCAAAAAGAAAAACCAACGCGCGATGTTCAAATTTGCGCACTCCTATTGGCCAGCTAGCCATAAATCCTTGGGCAGGTACCAACAAGCGAATAGAAGCAACGATAAAGTGCTCATGTTTGTTTTGATGCGAAGTAAATGAGGTTTGACGGGCTCCAGTTCTTTTTATCGATTTTGGCGGACCACAGTAAAAGTACCACTATCACTTTCACACATATCTTTTTTCGCAGTACATATGCCATCCACATCTGCAAGCAGATGTTTGAGTAAGATAAAAGACATACACTTTATAGTTCTGCCTCATCATCTGGAACGTTCTCTCGTAGCATATGGGTGTTCTACAACTATGATTATCAGTGTCAGTATGAATTGTTATGTGCGTGCGGTTCGCGTTTAGCTTTGTGTTTCTTTGATATAAGATATAACAACTCCTGAAAATAAGATTAGTGAACATTGTCTATGGTTTATGTTAAATTAATCAGTTTCCAGAAAATTAACAGTTTTCTTTTATACTCTCTATGTATGCAAGAGCGAGTAGCAGCTACATTATCTTTTGAGAAAGTTATGCTACACCCATGGTGCAGTTAGTTGATCAGTTTTCTTATTTCGTATGACACTGATAGTATCCGCCAAAATCCGTGTAGTGGCCCATTATAGATTCACAATTGAATCTTCCGCTGTTGAAGCGAACTGAAATACCTTCCACCACAGCCAACGACTCACACTGATGCAGTAGCCAAGTTTAACAGTGGCACACATTACTTATAATAGATAGATTGAGAACTTTCTATGGTACTCTTATCTGGATAGCCTCCATACTTCAATTAGCAATATGTCTACATTCCTGCTAGCCGTCACCAACAACATAAAACACCACCTTCAACCCACCAAAGCGAATCAGCCCAAAAATATAATCTCACTGCTTACAGCCAATTTTAGTCTAAAAACACCGTTGCGGCCTTCGACCTTTCATCCCCATCCGGCCTGCACGTCCATCCGATAGCACCATCTAGCGGCCTCCTTAGGTATGGTAGGGCGTCACGTATGTCGCTGGGAACAGGCCCTTGCGGTGACCGATTTCGCCGTGCCACCAATGTTGATCGGAACGGTCCGTCACCGTGATGACGTCACCGCGTCTGAATTCCAGTTCGCCTTGCTCTTGCGGCGTGAAATCGTAGAGGGCTTGCACTAAGTACTGTAACAGAAATGATATGGTTTCAATTCAATTATGTTTTCAAACTACTTCCAGTGTCTGGTAAAGTTGCATAAATTGTTAGTTTCTACGTCATAGACAAAGAAATGTCATAAGTAAAACTTTTCTATTATAGGCTTGGTTCCGAATGTAGATAAACGACCATTTTTGCGTCTTACACAATTTTAATGGTACGATTATTCGCATGGAGTGATAATAATCCAGGACGTGCTTTTAAAGAAAATACACTTTTGGACATCCCACGATTTACGAAAAATAATTTTGCCAAAAATTCATCATAACCAATCACTCATATCGTTTTCCATTGATTAATTGACTCCTAGTAATTGTGTAAAAAAATATTAAATCAAATCTCCACAGATTCTTTTATCTGAAATTAAAAAAGGAGATACGAGAGTCCAGACATTCCCCACTTCCACGATGCGACGTGTTGAAACCTTCATATTTAGCGAAAAAAACAGAATGCTCCTGATTTTTGCAAAGATAAGTGTCTCAAAGCCATATGGATTTTGCTTAAAGAGTCTCTTTTTTTGTTAAATGCTGTCTGGTTAAGAGGTTAAACAATCCAATGCATTTCGACGAACTGACTCGGTTTTGGAAAGCTTATTCATAAAACAACTTCTCGAAAGTATTGTAATATACTCAAATTAATGTTCTTGGACAAACATAGTGTGATACCCCACTTATTATAAGTAAGTCGCGCACGTTCAAAACCTTCCACCAAAATATCTGTGCGCCAGTGTTATGTTTCGTCTTGTGTTTTGTTTGAGAATTTAGTATTTATGTGCACTCGAATTTTATCTAACTGGTAGTATAAGAAACCCACCGCTGCTGTAAGAATTGATAATGAAAAATATTTCAAGACGATTCATTTCAAACCACATTGAAAATAATTTTCAAGGTAAATAATTGAAATAGACAATTTAAAGGCCACTGACGATTATAAAATGGTGCCAAATATAGATTAATCTGCTTCACAACTTTGAAGTATCTTGTTGTTTTTGATGAGCGCAAAATACCAAAGTTATAACTAGTGAATGTTGCTCGCGCTTGTTTTTCGACTATCTCTTTCCTTGAATATACAATGATATATGGACTCATACTCGTACTAATAGTAAGAAGTAGCTTATAGACCGATCGATAGAAAACAAAATTAAATAAAATAGAAAAATACATTTTTAAAAACAAGCTTTTACTTAGCTGTTTATAAAATGAGCTAAACCTTTAAAAATATTTTTTACTATACACAAATGTATTATCGAAACGTCACATTAACATCTACAGAAGTATTTACTGAAGCAGTTCGAACAGAGGCGTTAGTGATGGCCAGTTAACCGCTGGGTTTTGGAAAAATAAGTGTCTCAAAGTCATATGGATTTTGCTAAATGTGTCTCTTGGAGTTTTTCTTTTTTTTTTGACTGGTTGATAAAATGTTTACTTTGGTTCAAAGAAAAAGCACAAAAGGGCAGGTTTCAAGTAGAATCGATCTGGCTTTAGAATAATGACACTAATTTATTGAAAAAACCAGCAGAGCACTGTTTTTTTCACCGATCATACGAACTTGTCATCACGAACGCCTCTGTTTTAATTGCTTCAGTAAAAAATTATGAAGATGTTAATGTGACGTTTTGATAATACATTTGCGTATAGGAAAACTAACCGCAATATCTCAATATGCTTTAGAAAAATGTGATTACGAACAAGTTTTAACTTTAAAATTATGGAAACGAAGTAATTACACTACCTATACTTATATGAACTTTTTTCATATTATATGTGCTGAATATACAGTAATGGACAAAAGTATATAGACAAATTAATATTATGCTGTATTTATTTTTTAAATTGTTTTATTAATACACGAACCTGTATATACAGGGTGACTTCGAAGTTGAGTCATTTATTTTAACAGTGAGTAGATCTGATCAAAAGAAATGTTTTTTTCCTTTACCATTTTTCTGGTAAAATTAAAGTAACCAAGTTATAGCCCTTTGGAAGTTTGAGTACCGCCCTGTCTCAATAATAATATTATGTGCTCGTGTTTGGCAACAACGGATATAATCCGCCTTATAGGTTCATCGCATCGGAAACAAAAAAACGGGGGGGGGGTCTTTACAAAATGCTGCCGCGGCATCACAAATTTGTGCGAATCAGTTTCCCAAATCGAGTGCAACCAACCCCTCGTGCCTTTGTTAATGTAGTACAAAGGGCTCGTGAATCAGGTGACTTAAGACCTCATAGGGGAGGGCATGCCGGTGTTCCAAGACCGCACGATCAAATACAGGTCCGCACTGAAATACTTGTCGGGAGGATACTTTATAAAACAAGGTAACATTTTTTTTTTATTTTTTTTTATTTTTACACACATATTTTGGTTTATCTTCCTTCTACAATCATTATCTGAAAATTAACGACTCAACTTCAAAGTCACCCTGTATAATTCGTTATAGCATATTACTCATACATAAATAAATTCATTAGACTCCCTTCAATAAAAAATGAATTGAGAAAAAACTGGAACTATGAAGGACAAAAATATATAGACAAAGCAAAACAACTATAGAAAAAAGAAGCAAGTTCATTGAATTATAGCAAAACCAACCATGTTTGTGTTAATATTTTGTAGCATAACTATTATTATCAATCACCGCCTGGCATCGTCTCGGCATAGATTGTAGAAGTATCTTGATATAAGATTCATCAATCTGTCTCCACTTTTGCTCTAAAGCGGCCAAAAGTTCATCCTTGTTTGAATAATTTTTATCTCGTATTTGCTTATCTAGGTATTCCCATAGATTTTCAATGGGGTTTATACCGAGAGACTATGAAGGCTATTTGGTATTTTTTCATCCAGAAAGAATTTCTTTGCGAGATTTGAAGAGTGCTTCGGGTCGTTATCTTGCTGGAAGATTGATCTTAAGCGCATATTGTCTTCCATACAGGGTAACATGACATGCTTTAGTTTGTCTGTGTATACAAACTTATCCATAATGCCATCTATTCTATGCAAAGGTCCCATCCCAAACCCCGAAAAGCACCCCCAACCATAACAGACCCGCCTGCATGTTTGACAGTGGGCAAAGTGTATTTGGAGTTCAATCTTTGTCCACTAGGACAACGTAATGAACACAATCTTATCCAAACATATTGAACTTGGATTCGTCACTGAAACATAGCCTCTTCCAGTCACAGATGCTCCAATCAAGATGCAACCGTGGAAATTGTAATCGGTCCTTACGGTTGTTGCTCGAGATTAGCGGCTTCTTACTGGGGGACGTGCAAATAACTTCAAATGATTTAATCTTCTACTTATAGTTTTTGTAGAAACACTGACAATTCCTTTTGTCTCGATTTCGGCTTTTATTTGCCTTGGGGTTTTAAACGGATCTTTGGACGAAATTACTTTTATTAATCTAACTGATCTAGCATTTAGTTTTCTAGGCCGACCACTTCTCTTAGAGGCTTCCAAGATACATTTTTGTTTATATTTGTTCAATGTTGCCCAAACTGCTTTACGCTTCAGCTTCAAATTTTTGGCAATGTCGACTTGACGTTGACCATCTTTGTATAACTCAATGATCTTAGTTTTCACATCGAAAGAAATTTATGGACCACGCAGCATGGTCTTAAAATCACTCAACTTATTCCACAATACTTGATGAACACAAACTAATCCTCTTCTGATACGAAACTGTACTAAACTAATGTTGAAAAGAATTTGTCTACATATTTTTGTCCCTCATAAAAAAGTGCTTATACTCAGACTTGTATTGTGTTCATTGCAGATAATGTAAAAACAAGGAATTTAGTTTTCTACTAATAACGCATTTGTTTATGGAGCAATGAAGTATGAATTCGTTTTCTAAAGATATTTAGGTAAATATTCAATTTGTCTATATACTTTGGTCCATTACTGTATGTCCTTCAATTTTCCTAGCAACATTCTGTAACACTGTATAAAATCTACTTTCTATCTTGCAATGAAATTCATTATAAATAAGTCAATAGGAAACAAATAGCTTTAAGTAGGTTGATTCTGCACTTGCCATACAATGCTGTCATCAGTTCATAAAAATTATCTGTAGCACAGGTTAGCTCGTCTTAGAAAAAAGTTAGCTACGAACGAGAAGAAATTACTAAGATCAAATCAGTAAAAAAACGACTCGAAAATCCACCAAACGCTGCACATTTTTTTTACTGGAATGAGACTTGGCATGAAGTTGAGTACTCATCGATACCTTACGTTTAAACATTCGTTCCCAAGTTGCACCGGAGGAGAGACTGATCTAAGTTGTGATGTATTCAGTCTCTTCTGTTCTTCTGTCATATTTTGAGTCTAATTTATTGCAGATACTATCCACGTACTGAGTCAAAACATGTGGAACTACATTTGAACAAATTGACCACATTATCCGGGACATTTTCCACGATATCTGGAAATACGACCTCTCCACTTTGTTGCACCACGATGAAACTCACCATGGAGGAAATAGTAAATTATAATCTGTCACTTTTAAGAAGATAGGGGGTGTGTAAATAAGCGATGAGACTGGCAACGTAGAGTTCGATCTGGTAACACAGGAGACGCCGGGCTTGGAGGGGAGACAGGAGGACATGTGATCTGCCTTCAGTACAAGTTTGTACTCGCTCGAGTCATTTGGTTCTCGGTAGCAACCTCCTTATTTGCCTGACTTGAACCCTTATGACTTTTTTCTCTTCCCGAAGCTGAAAAATCACCTCAAGGGAAAGTCGAAAACATTCAAACGGCTGTAACCGACTAGCTGAAGGCTATCCCTGTATCGGCGTTCTCTGTTAGGGTGACAATATAAAATTGTAATTATATATATATATACATAAAAAATTAAAAAAAGAAACAGTCGCATCACTTGATTTACAGACCTCGTATGACGCCACCCTACTTTGACGCACTTGAATGGAGTTTGGCATCGAGGAAGTATTAATCAATATCTTACGTTTTAAAA